TTGGTTTTTCAGGACTGGATTTAGGTTCTGGTTGTGCTGAAAGTTTGCACACAGGCAGCTGCTGTTTAATGTTGGACAAAGTGCTTTAATTACAGCAGCACAGAACCACTGCCACGTGGTGAGGCCCATTAAAGAGACTGGATGGATGGATGGATGGATGGATGGATGTTCCTTGTTTTGTTGCTACGACTGAGCGCCCCTAAAACAAATGACTGAGCTCTACCTGGTATTTCCTGCACAGAAACAGTTTTAACATGCCCTCTTATAAACACTGAAAAGTACTATGTGTACAACTGACCAAATGTGAGATAAATAATACATAAATACTACTGAAAGTAAAAATTAGAGTTTTACTCACTGTTGAGTTTGTAGTGAATAGCTACCATCTTGAATTCTGAACTCTCCCACTTTCCGACAAGGAATTCCCACTGGAGCAGACATTCTTGTTTAAATTCACAACTTGGAAGTGGGAGATTCCCACTTCCCGGTACAACTGGGCCGCGGTAAAAGTAGCTGGTGAAAATGCACCTAAATGGAGATTTTACACGATACTCGCACTCCCACCCTCGTTCAAATGCACGTTCACGTTGAAGGGTTTGAGTGTGTCCCACGTTCTCCACACCCGCCCTTCACCCCGCCCATTTTGGGTACCATTTCCGCCCTTACGTGAAGTCCGCATTTTTACGGACTTCGGCGAAGTGTATTATCCACAATTCATGTCTGTGTGTGACGTTTTGAATTAAAAGGAAGAAATCTGGCAATGTCCACTGAGCATTTTCCAGTTTAGTGGTGGCAGTAAGGCACTTAAATGAGTCTGCCAACCACCAATAAAACCAGAAGAAGAAGAACTTATAGAAGTTAGTTCTCAGACTCTGTGATGTATCAGCCTTCTTCACTTCCTGTGCTTTCTTCTCCTAAAAACCTTTGCTTTTTGTGGTTCTAATATCATTTTTAGCAACACAAATGCCAAAACAGTGACTGGTCCCACCAATGTTGGATGTCACAGTTACAACGTAGTGGCACAAGTCGATGACGTAATCCGTACTGTCCCAATTCTCTGTTTCTTTGCACGCTTGTAACCTGCGCACTCCAACACTTATGTGCACTTTGACTGAATCCACACTTCAGAGAGGGGCGTAGGATGCACACTGAGCATTGGGACTGGGCCTTTGTCGGCTACTTTTGAACCCTGTGGCCCTCCACCTAGTGGTGGGAAGATGTCACTTTGCAGGTGAAATAATCTACATGCATTATGGGAGATGTAGTTTATGTTCAATGCTGGCTTTAGCAACATATTTATTTTAATACATCCTTGAAGCTCTTGTAGACCATTTAAAATGATGTGGGCCACATTTGGCCTGCGACCCTTGAGCTGGTGCCTCAACCAAAAAAGGGTGTCCACCATATCAGGGTTCCTACAGCCCACGGCAAGTAAAATTTAAGACTTTTAAAGACCTAATTAATGCCACTTGAAATAAAATTTAAGACCAACTTCACAATAAACACAAATGGGAAAAAACCCAGTTAGCAACAATTTTAGCCAAATATTTATTTTAAAACAAAACGAGCTGTAAGAGGCATTTGGTCAGTTATTAAAAATAATAATAAAAAATGTTAGCAATTATTGTAAAATTTAAGATGAATTAGTCATCCTACGTACGATGTATTAACATCGTATGTAGGATGTATTAACATCGTACGTAGGATGGTAATACACTGTACGTAGGATGACTAATTTAAGAAAAATTAGTCATCCTACATACGATGTATTAACATCCTACGTACGATGTATTAACATCCTACGTACGATGTATTAATATCCTACGTACGATGTTAATACATCGTACGTAGGATATTAGTACATCGTATGTAGGATGACTAATTTAAGACAAATTAGTCATCCTACATATGATGTATTAACATCCTACGTACGATGTATTAATATACTACGTACGATGTATTAATATCCTACGTACGATGTATTAACATCCTACGTACGATGTATTAATATCCTTCGTACGATACATCGTACATAGGATATTAATACATCATACGTAGGATGGTAATACATCGTATGTAGGATGACTAATTTAAGACAAATTAGTCATCCTACACACGATGTATTAACATCCTACGTACGATGTATTAAGATTTTTAAGACCTATGAAATATTGATTTAAGACATTTTAAGGTCAATTAAGGCCTTATTTTTGGATTTTAAAGTGTCTGTGACATGCCTATCCATCAAATATAAAAAGTCAAAGAAAACATTTTTACATAAGAAACCTTGCATAAAACATGTGATTTTACCCATTTTGTCACATAAATGACGTACTTTCTTTTGAACTTGTCTCAGCCAAAATGAAACAGGAAGTGACATCAAAGGGGAACTCTTTAACAAAGAAAACTCTGTAAATGTTGTTTATTGAAACAATATTATTTGAACTCTGACTCATCTTCATCTCTGATAGACTCAAAATAATCTAAAGACACGTCAGATTCTTAGCTATTTTATCAACGCTTTGTTCCATGCAGGCATTCCCCTTTGACATCACTTCCTGTTCCTTCACATGCAACAACTGCTCAGCTCAGCAGCGGGAAATTATTTTTGCAATATGCTAATAATGTTCTTTCCAATAATGCCTTTATATTTATTAAAATATTTTCATGTCACAGGCACTTTTTAAGGATCTGCAGTAACTCTGCATATTCACATCAGGCTTTGGTCCACCACAGTACCACTAGTCCTGACAAAGACAGGTTTATACCAGAAACCAGTGGCGTCACTAGGCCTATTTTTGGGGGCCTGGAGCCCCCCTAAAATGTTTTAAAGCCCACTTAAACAATTTTGGTGTAAAAATGTGGTCAGAATAAACAACCATTTAATATGTCATATATATATAAACACACAAACACAATATAAATATATAATATACAAAGATGCTGTATGTATATGTATACAGTATATACTAGGGCTGTGTATTGGCAAGAATTTGGCGATACGATACATATCATGACAGAGGGGTCACGATACGATATATCCTGATATATTGCGATACTGTAAGCAAGGCAATATATTGTGATTTCTTTTGTCCTAAAATTCTATTAAATAAAAACCTCTTACAGGGGAAAAAATGAAAAA